GACATATAAAAAATCGCTGGTATTAAAAAATTTTTAAATGAACAATTACGTACTGGAAGTCTCCTAAAGAGAAACAGAGAAAACATTAATTTTCAAGAATTCTATACCATCTCCACGAAAAATGGGGGTATATTTTTTAACATAGAACAATCCTGAAGGGGTGAGAGCATTAGAATCTGACTTTGCTTTTTCCACATGTGAGATATGTTTGTAAATATGTATGCATATACATATGTTTGTAAATATGTACATATAATTTTTTTTTAAATATGTGTCACAAGTCATTAAACTAAGCACAAGATTTCGTAGTTACGTAGTCCATACCGCAGTCCCTGAACGTTACTATCATATACGAAGAAGAAATGTTTTTAATTTCACTATTTGACAACCTTGACCTTGTAAATCGCTGTATTCAAAATCTTATTTTAATGCAGCTGTTGCTGTCTTTTATATGCACTGGCGTACGCCTACACCCACTATTTTAAACAATTTGCCTGGTCATAAGAGTATAAGATTTTTGAAATGTTTTACGGTGTGTGACGTTGGTTGGCGCAAAATTACGGGATTTCTGCCAAGTAATAATGTTTTTTGTATTCACATATGACATAAATTAATTGCTTGCATTTTTCTATGGCAACTGACTGCATTTTCTCGCACATTTGTTTCATTTGCATATATGTATATACATATTAGGGCGGGTCAAATTTTTTGCATCAAAGGCACATCGCAATTATGGTTATTTGGGTCATTTCAAGCATTTGTGCCCAAGAAACCATAGGTCTAAAATGAATTCCGACTCAGCGATTTTTTCTATCTAGTTTTTTTTTTCAAAAAGTGGCTCACCTGTAGAAACAGCTGTATTGAAAACTAGCCAATTTGTGTACCTAGGTGTTTTTGAGGTCGATGAATCCATTTCTGGCATTAATTTTTTCTTTTGAGGGCCGACAGAGGGCGCTCCCGTACTTTTTTTGGGCTTAAACGCCTTTTTTCCGAAAATCGACATCATTTTTGAGAAAATCCACGAAATTTGACTTTCTCATAATGCAATTTCAATTTTTAAATAGCCTAAAATGTTCAGCGTTAATAAATTATTATTTTTTAATTTTTTATTTATTTTATTTTTATTTTTTATTTTACATATTACACAAATGTAAATGAAAAAAATTAATTTGAATTCAATCAGAAGGAACAGCAAGACGAAAAAAGAATCGAGAGCGAGTTATTTTTGAAAGTCTTTTTCGCTTTCATGTCTAGGGAATTTCTCACGGCTTTCAAATGTCACTGACATAACTTCTCTATGCTGTTCTAAAACTCGTTTGGACACGCTAGCAAGCAATTGAACGAATCTTTCTGTTCCTTGTATGTGTGGAATTTTCGGATCAGGCAGCGGTGGATATTTGTTTTCTAGATATTGTTCTTTATTGTCATAAGGTTAAATTAAATGGTGGTTCGAATATGACTGAATTATCATTCATGTCAATCATATTCGTATAATCCGTGTTTTTTATACCTTTCATGAGCATGAAATGGTATTATAACTTTGGTTCGATGTTTGTAAGTACCTGAACAAAAAGAGATAGACCCATGAAAATGTATACTTATATGATCAGAACGTCGAGCTGAGTTGATTTAGCCATGTCCGTCTGTCCGTCTGTCTGTCTGTTTGTATGCAATCTAGTCTCTCAGTTTTCGAGATATCCGGATCAAATTTGGTAGGTGGGTGTATTTTTATAATGTATTAATCATTTGTCGGAACCGGAAGAATCGGGCCACTATAACATATAGCTCCCATACAACTGATTGTTCAGATATGAGATTTTTCATTATAACTTCTCCATTTATGCAGCTACGAACATGAAATTTCGCACCATTTTCACTCATTATTAACAGAATACTTACAGTGAAAATAACAAGGATCGGATGACTACAACATATATCTTCCATACATCTGATTGTTCAATACTTGCACCCATTATCAACAGAATACTTACAGTGAAAATTACAAAATCGGGTCACTATAACCTATAGCTCCCATACAACTGATTGTTCAGATATAAAATTTTGCGTTATAACTCCTCCATTTATATAGCTAGGAACATGAAATTCCGCACTGTTTTCAATAATTATCAACAGAAAACTTACAGTGAAAATTAAAAAGATCGGGTAACTATAACCTATAGCTCCCATACAACTGATTGTTCAGATATGAGATTTTTCGTTATAATTCATCCATTTATGTAGCTAGGACCATGAAATTTCGCGCTGTTTTCACTCATTATCAACAGAAGACTTACAGCGAAAATAACAAAGATCGGGTCACTATAACCTGCAGCCTCCATACAACTGATTGTTCAGATATGAGGTCTTTTATCATAACTCCTCCATTTATGCAGCTAGTAACATGAAATTTCGCACCATTTTCACTCATTATTAACAGAATACTTACAGTGAAAATAACAAGGATCGGATGGCTACAACATATGTATATCTTCCATACATCTGATTGTTCAGCTAAAACCGATAAATTTCGTAAGATATTTTATAAATAATAATACAAAGTCTACTGAGAAAATCGTCAAAATCTATGCTGTATAAGCTTTATCTCCTATAGCACTGATTGTTAAGATACCAGTTTTTGCCATATATCTCCTTTATGTACGAAACTAAACCCAATAAATTGTGTTACCGGTTTACATACCGATCACATAGCGGTGAAAATCACTTAGATTGGTGTCATATAAAGTATATCTTCCATACCTCTGATTGTTTAGATGCGATTTTTTATATAAGTATGTAACTCCTCTACCGATGTATGCAGATGTATTCAAAAACAGTAATCTGTCAAAGTAAAATTTGCAGATGTTCATGAAAGGTATGAAGCCTTCGGCATAGCCGAAGACAGCGCTGCTCTTGTTTTCATTTACATTTCATGTTTTTATCTTTTAAGTTGAATTTTTGAATAAAAAAAAATATATTAAAATAAGAAAAGAATTTGTTTTGTAAAATTCATAGAACACATGAAAAAGAAACGAATTTTTTGTCCTAAATTGAATAAAATGGATATAAGTTGTGCATGAATACACCTTCCTTCTCCCTAATTTTCACGGCTGAACATTTTAGGCTATTTAAAAATTGAAATTGCATTATGAGAAAATCAAATTTTGTGGATTTTCGCAACAATGTTGTCGATTTTTGGAAAAAAGGCGTTGAAATTTAAAAAAAAATACGGAAGCGCCCTCTGTCGGCCCTCAAAAGAAAAAATTAATGCCAAAAATGGATTTCTCGACCCCAAAAATCCCCAGATTCACATTTTGGCTAGTTTTCAATACAGTTGTTTCAACAGGTGAGCCACTTTTTGAAAAAAAAACTAGACAGAAAAAATCGCTGGCTCGAAATTCATTTTAGACCTATGGTTTCTGGGGCAAAAATGCTTGAAATTACCCAATAATCATAATCGCGATGTGCCTCTGTTAATTTTGTTGGGCCCCTACAAATCGACCTGCCCTAATATGTATATATATATATATATATATCGAAGTGTGTATTTAATCCTTTTCATAACGCAGCCAAAAAATAATTGATCGTATATTCTATGGCACATTAGAGATTAACAATAATGTGCTATTAATATAAATACTGCATACAAGCATTACACGTCGCATTAATACGTAAACTCTCTCTAAAAGCCCTTTACCCGTATAACGCTTTTTTCGTTGTTGTAAAAATTTGAAAAGTGTTTAATATAAATATTTCCGTTTCTTTTCTCTTTAATAGTCTTGAAGCGCCAGATGTGACGGGTAGCAGCTTGACACTGGGTACAGCCGGTTCCCGACGCACAGTTTATTTAATTGATGAAAACCAAAAAATACCCGAAACATCAAATAGCAATAGTAGTGATGTAAGCATAGGTGGACGACTGTCGACATCGCATTCACCCTTGAATTCAAGCGCTTGCTCATCATCGACCACCTTAGGTGCAAGTGGCGCATGCATGGGCGCCGATATAGGAGTTGGTGTTGCTGAACCGCAGACACCTACAAATGCGACACCAGTACCAACGATAAACGAAAATCCAACAACATTCCTTATGTATAATCGCATTAATACGACGATTGGTAGTAGTGCTGGTACTGAGGGCAGCATAGCCGACGGTACATGTCGTGAGCCAACATTAACGCCAAACAATAATTCTACACCAGTGTCTGCGGCGTCAGCAACAGCGCAGCAGGATGATAAATTGCAGCGAAAACGCACAGAAGATAAAAGTAATAGTATTTGGTATGAATATGGATGTGTTTAGACAATAGCAATTTAATAATAGTTAGCTGTAAATGCATGTACGCTAATAAGTTTTTTATGAGTTAAGTGTATCGGCGATATACTAAATAGACTTATGATCTACATATATTGTGCCTTCTGTTTCTTTTTGACTTTTTTGAAGCACAAAAGTTGCTTAATGCAATAACACCTACTGTCATCAAAATATATGCCCCAACTCGAATATTTAATCATTTAAAATTGTTTAAATGAATTTGCACATACTCCCCTATTGTAATTTTTTTTACATGTCATGAAAGCCTCATTAAATTTAATAATTAATCAGTATGATTTTAATATATATCTTTACTATTTTACTTATTGCCCTGCCTTTTAAGCGAGAGTATTAAATTTTTGTAAATGATCGAATTTTATTTAAGTTTACATTGAATTTCATAGGCACGGCACATTTCACTCATCTAAGCTGAGCTGAATCTCTCCAAATTAAATTCATTTGGGTATTCTCATTTCCCCATTTGATTCATACCATATTCAATGAATTTAGATGTACGAAATTGTCATTATATCTACCCAAATACGGTCCCGCATAAAATTGTTGGCACAGAGAAATCCTCACAATATACATATGCAAAATTGTTTGCTTTTTAATTTTTAAGCGTTTTTTTATAAAAATATAGTTTATACTACTACAACAATAAAATAAATTTATAAACTTTGTGAATAACTTAGAAAAATTCAAAAAATTAGCAACTTTCTAATACCATTTTTTAGAAAAATTTGGAAAAAGCAATTTTGTTGCCCATTAAATTTTAAAATATAAAGGGCAAGTTTATAGTTGCTAAAAACCGCGTTTAATTTCATGAGTTTTGCGCAAAGTTAAGTTTTTTGAAGAAATGTTTTTTGTTGAAGTATTAACTATATTTTTATCAAGTTTCCGCGAAAAAAAATTTAAAGCCAAAAATTTTACAATAATTTTATGCGGGACTGAACATATGTATTATTCCTTCGAATATAAATAATTATAATTTTCCAAAACATGTATATTTCCCATTTCTTATTATAAACATACACATATAGAGAAAACTTAAGCTGTGACACAATTATTTTATAACTACTACATACCGTCACTAGACACGAAGCTCAAAAGTTGACCGCGAAAAAGACGCGTAAAAACACTTCAGCGAAGATAGACTCTTAACATAGTTGACGGAGAAGAAAGACGCGTTACAATATTTGACGGCGAAGAAAGACCCGTAAACTTGGTCCTGTTCGAGGCACGTAATAAAAGCGGCATTACTACTGCACTGATGAAAATTTGCAACACTGTTGCAACTGCCCAACTGACAATACGTTGCTAGAAATTCAGACCGAACGTGATACTTTAATAATTCGCGCTACACTGCGGTTGTGATTGCAACTCGAACAAGCCCCTTATTTTCGCGGTCGACTATGTGTATGTAACAGTATGTAAATTCTCCAAAGAGTTTTTGTGGAATGATTCTGAAACGACAGTCCTTGGCCAGTAGCTCGTTTCTGTAACTCTTCTCTACCGATTATTTCTCTAGTGATAGAGAATATACATCATTCTCTACTACTCATTAGCAGTAGAGAACAGGGCAGCGAATTTATATCTCAATTCGCCTTGGTAGAGAATTGTTACAGAAATGAGCTACAGGTATACATCTGTGTTAACGCGTCCTTCTTCGCCGTCAACTAGGTTTTACGTCTTTCTTCGGCGAAGTTTTCTTTAAGGGTCTTTGTTCGCCGTCAAAACACTAGCGCGCCTTTATTCGTGTGTAGTGACGATACATTGATTGTCAATATTTTATTTGCATTGTTTCTTAAAAACTACGCACATGAAGTTTCTTTACTGCATAAACAACATAGAATTTGAAAAGCATTACAAAATAATAATAATTATACAAATAAATTACAACTATTTTAAAGCTATTCCAAACGTACGCTACAACGAAAGAACTACATAGCGTTAGGCTACCTTAACATTTAAGTGATTAGTTAGACAACATAAAATGATTTCGTAAGTATAAATGCATACATTTCTTAGTTTATACATAGAAAAAGCATAACATTTACATAATACTACAAAATACATTATATATTGTAATCGTTCAAAATACCATATTTGCCTTCATCTAATATAATAGACACAGACATGACGAGTATTAAGTACATACTTACATAAATGAAAAATTATAAACTATAATTGTCTACATTAATGTGATCGAGGCTATGGTCACTATTCGCTTTGGCAAATTAAAAGCAGTTTCTCACAATTAAATTCAAAAATATTTTTTAGTTAAAATGGCTATTAATATTATATACATGCTATATATGTTAAATGTTTTATATACACATATATTTTTATATGCATTTATCTTTTATAAATCTCCTTTTTAATTTAGTGCAAACTTTACATACATCGTAAGTTCACAACTAATGAATAAATATTACTTCCAATTGAAACTTTTAAATCACAATTGTGCTTATTTCTTCTTATTTTAAATATGTATGTGAATGTAAAATGGATTTTATTTATTTTTATCTTCGTCTTGCCGAACTGTAATGTTTTGCATAAATAAACATGTAGTTACCCAATAAAGTACGGAAATAAAGAATGACGAATATATGTATGCAGCGCTAGCAATCTCAATAAATGCTCTCATTATTAACGGCGGCTACAGTAGCTGCGCTGCCGGCGACTAGACATGTAAATGGAAATTATGCCCATTGACGACACACGATCTGCCTGGCATACTATATGTTGGCAGTGGTGAATAAATAAACTGAAATTTCGCAGAAGAAAAGATTATTATTTTTTTTTTTTAATACATTAAATGATTTACTCAATAGGTCACTGACCTTCGGCGCCTTCTGTTGTGTGGACATGTATCCCACACAAAAAGATTTCGTTGTGTGACTCCATAGAACTTCCCCAGTGTTACCTTGCGGATAATAGATCAGCGAGAGCGCGCCCGCATACAATTCTTGATCGACAGGAAGAAATGGTGACTCCAAAAATTTGCATTTAAAACTCTTATGTAAGCTTGTTACAGCACAATCGGTTGCTAGCAAGTCTCCACAAATTTCTCTCGCCAAAAATGTTTTCATTAAATATTCACCATTTCCGGTGGTACAAGTCGCTACAGAGATTTCATTGGTGTTAGTGGCCCAGCAACCTGCACCATAGGTGGCTGCCTGACCCACGCGTCCTGGCACCTTCAATAATAGCCCACCAGAGCTGCAACCAGCAGCTGTATTCCCGTTACTATCCACACACACTGCTCCAACAGTATCAAGGGCACTAACTTGAGCTGAGACAACTGGTAACGTTGACATCCCATTACTTGTGCTAGTGGTTCCTTCTGCTGCGGGTGATACTGCCGCTATTTTAGATTTATAGTGGTTATATGAGAATTTTGCCTTGGAAGAAATCATGGCGCTGGCGTCGATCATCGTGCAACCTAGTTCTTCAGCATACCTTTCTGCGCCACTACCAGCCATTACCATTGGCGGTATGCGCTCCATTGATAGCATAGTTGACTGCCCATCGCATATCAAACGAGCTAATCGTATCGGATTTCGTACTGTACTCACGTTTGTGCAGGCTCCAAAATGTAAATTCGAACCATTCATTATGGATGCATCACATTGCACTCGCCCATCCCAACAGAGGTTGGACCCGAACCCGGCATTAGTATTGCCACAATTTTCGAGACGCATTATCGCCGCCTCAACTGCGTCCATTGCGGAACCACCATTTTTAAGTATGTCTGTGGCTCGTACACAGGCTTCTTTGATAACGCGCTGGTATTTGGTTTCATCTATGCAATTTCCAGCACCTAAATAAAGAATGAAAGTACATACAAATAATTATATGCATATGTATCTTTCTTTTAATTAATTATTTAAAGGCTCCTACCAGTGTGGACTGCTACAAACCCGGCCATATTTACAATTGCGTTAAAATAATGAATTGTACTTTCTTCCTTGAGAATTGCAGCGTAGACAAATTATTGCATCTTCGTTTGTGTAAAGTGCTCAATATAAACAAATGAAAATGTCAGCATAATACCCTAGAGATGACAGTCTGAATCGTACCAAAAGTCGTTTAACGTTCTCGGTTGCAATTGTTGTTGTCAGCTGTGAACAGCTTTTCAATTTACACAGACGAACGAGAGCACAAAGCGTGTTGCCCGAACACGAGCAACTCGGTGCCCCTCTCCTTTCCTCGTCACGCTCTCTCCGACGAACGCCGAGTTGCGGCAACAAAAATCGCCGTGTGTTCTGGGACCCTTCAGAACCCTTCTGGGTTCACACAGAGAAACTTTTGTTGCTCATTTTCGGCAATTTCTCTTTTGGTGTGGCCCTTCGCGTTCACACAGAGCAATTCTTTTGGACACAATTGTTGTTGTCAGCTATGAACGGCCAACTAGAATTACTCAGACGAACGAGAGCACACAGCGTGTTGCCCGAGCACGAGCAACTCGGTGCCCTCCCCCTTCCTCGTCACTCCCTCTCCCACTTTTGCAAAAAGTTAAGTAATAACGAAGATATTGGTCAAAATAAAAAGCTCACGCTCACGCTCGCATTGAACTGTATAGCAGGCTTAACGAGTTGCCGCGACAAAAATTTCTCGTTCCCACGACAGTCGGGTCTACGCAACCGGAACGACCCAGATTTATATCTGGCCAAGGACTGTCACTCCAGCAACACTCCCCAAAAAGTCTTTGGTGAATTTGTATGCTGCTACAACAACAACAACAACAACAAAAATTTCTCTGTCTGAACGTAGATTTTTGGGCTTGTAGTTCTGTGCATTTTATAAGTAATAGGACATTATCGATTCGCAATAAGTAAATTAGCATATAACATTGAATACGAGTATTTAAAATGTACTGATTATGCATGATTCAATAATACAAGGTTAGATAATTATTGACAGCTACGGTTTGACACTCCCTTACAAAAGGTTGCATTTACGAAGGTCAGAGAAAGGGCAAGAATGCAATCCCTTGTTGCGAAAATGGTAGTAGAAAAGTACGCAAAGTAGGCAATTAGTAGTGAAACTCCTTTCGTAAATTCTAATGTATTTGCAGGAAATCTGGCATTTTAAACGAAATGTTGAACGTAATGTTGATATATCCACGTGTATTACGTAATTTATATGCTATTTAGCCGTATAAAAACTGCAAAATGACTCAAAATTAAAATAAGACTACTATGAGATTGATGTAAACATCCAATGCTTATGTTTTCATCAGTTAAATATGCTTCATATGCATATACAAATAAACATATTGCACAAAAGCTTATACTTTTATTTCACAACAAAGCTACACTGTTTCCATGTAAATTTGCAAAGAAGCAACACGGTGCCACTGCTAAGGGAGCGGTGCGAGAGAGACAACTGTCAGTTTATCGAACCTTGTATTATTGAATCATGCTGATTATGCAAAAATAATTACAATAACATGGTGTATTACGACAGGTACAGTTATCAATTTTAAGCATAGAAGCATATCGATTTTAAATGCAAAATGCAGCTGCTATCGATTTTCAATACAAATATCAATAATTTATAAACCGAGCTGCCAGGTGAAGTTTTTTCTCCAAAAACTGTTTGGTTGTCAAAATGATCCACATCATGCGCGCAAAAGTTAAGAGTTGCCCATGATTTGTTGTTGTTGTTGTAGCAGCATACAAGTTCACCAAAGAGTTTTTGGGGTGTGTTGCTGGAGAGACAGGCCTTGGCCAAATCAAAGAACGTAGATAACAAGAAGGGACAACTCGTTATAATTGTGGCGAAAGTGCGCAACAGGGGCGTGCCTTCTCTTTTCATCGTTCTACGTTCTTTGGTAGAAGCTGCGGTTAAGTACAACGACTACTTTATCGATGACATATTATATGCATGATGTCGAGAACGTCGATAGTGTAGTGGTAGTGATAACCAGACATTGAACAACCGGCCCTACCTAACCAGAGCTTCTACCTCCGATTTGTGCTAATCACAGTTGAACAACCGGCCCTAAGGGCCGTTTCCTCAATGTCTGGTTAACACTAATCTGCGGTTAAACATGGTTTTCGATGTTACCAACTCCCACTTGTATGCATGGAGTCGAAGAAGTCGGTAACGATGTTTAACCGCAGATTAGTGTTAACCAGACATTGAGTAACCGGCCCTTAAGCTCAATTCAAGGCCTTCTTCTTCTTCTTCTTGTTCGGAGTTCAGCAAAGCACGCCAGTCGTTTCTCTTCTGTGCCAACTGACGCCAATTGGAAACGCCAAGTGAAGCCAAGTCCTTCTCCACCTGATCTTTCCATCTTTACACCTTTTCACAAAGGGGGCGTTCCCATAAAAGCCTCGTAAACTTACGAGTCTTACAAAGTTTAACAGGCTAACCTAATATTCACGGCTTGCGTGCAATTGATTTCAATGAGCGAAACGTCAAACCAAAATTTCACGTAGAACAAAATTGGAAATTGAGTTAGCTTCATACGCACGCCGTTCAGTTTCGGTTGGTCCCATATATGTAAGTTGTATGTGCATGAGAAATTTTTGACAGTAAATTGGCGGCGTGCTTGAATATTAGGTTAGCCTGTAAGACTTTATGAGTTTAAGGGAATCCCCTGATTGTTTTTTGCTGCTTTTGTAAAATAAAAAATTTGTTGGATAGGGCCAAGGCGAATTAATATAAGGTGATAGCAAGAGTACAAAAACAAAAATTTACATGTATTTTGTTTTTGCTTTGGCGGCATAAACTGTCAAAATCTGTAAGAGTGTGTGTAGAAATTCAAACAAAATTATTCAATTTGATATCAGAAGCCGTGCGGCAAGGCATATTTAACTAGGTGGTGTTGGCCGTATATAAGTAAAAAATTACACTAACAAATTATACGCTGATGTCCATACTGTCATTGGTATGAGTTACAACAAACACATCATTTTGACGTAATGGCCTCCACGGCGAAAAACTCAGCTGTCGCCCCAACACCACCTTGTTTAATACACCTTGCCGTGCGGCGAAACACATACACAAAATCAGCTGAACTAGTAACACCACCTTTTATAAATTCGCCTTGGATAGGGCCTTAGGGCCGTTTGCACCATGTCTAGTTAATTCTAACTTCCAGTTTAACATCTTTATCGACGTAATCGACACCCATCATATAACATGTGATCGATAAAGCAGTTAACGTGCGTAACTGAAGGATGTACCTCCAGTTAGCGTTAACTAGACATGGTGCAAACGGCCCTTAGTGAATCAAGGTAACGATATATAGAAATTTATAACTTGGTGTGATTTTTATTTTAATTCTAATCTATCTTTAAAGTTATTTAAAGTATTATCACTGAGGTATCGTTTTATGAAAATTTTTATGTATTCATCAAATTTTATATCTTTTTGTTGTTCTATGAATATTTGTATGTACCTATGAAATTTTAGATTGCTTTGTTGTTCTAAATAAAAATTTGTCAAAATTAAGTATTAAAATTTATGTCATTTAATATGTTACTTTACCTACCCTCTTTCTTAATATTGAGTGTCCCGGTTTCAAGAATGCAAAAGTTGGCAACCCTGGTAGACCCTGGACTGAAAGGGGCGAGGTAAATTCGCACTTTCTTCGCCCTGTATCGTCTCTATACATTGGCCGGGGCTCCCCTTGGTCAACCATAATCACTGTTGTCGCCTTTCAAAAGCGTCAAGAAGTGTTCCTTCTATATCTTAAGTCAGCAGTTCTGTCTGGCAGCGTACTACCACTCCGTGGGTTCGATGCTTGTTCAAAGCAACATCTCAAAAAACTTATGGAAAAAGGTTTTTTCTAAACAGCGGTCGCCCCTCGGCAGGCAATGGCAAACCTCAGAGTGTATTTCAGTCGTGAAAAAACTTCTCATAAATCCATTTGTCGTTCGAAGGCATCGTAAAACTGTAGGTCCCTCCATTTGTGTAATAACATCAAGACGCACACCACAAATCGGAGTAGAAGCTCAGCCAAACATTTAGAGCCGGTTGTTCAATGTCTGATTAGCACAAATCGTAGGTAGAAGCTCCGGTTAAGTACAACGACTGCTTTATCGATCACATGTTACATGCATGATGTTGAAATCGTCGATAGTGTAGTGGTAGTGATAACCAGACATTGAACAACCGGCCCTTAGCAAAAGTGTAAGCACCAATTTTTTTAATTTCTCATTTCTACTCTTCTCCCGGGATTGCTCAACTGCTTATTTACATACAGTGACTCAAACAAGAGAACGTGTTGATTTTTTTTTTAATATTCGTAATGTGTTTCGAGCAAAATTTTTTTCTTTATTTTTTTTATATAAATGCCGTCCAAGCTTTAACCAAAACCATATAAATCACAGTTTCGAACTTTATAAAAAATTTGGGAAAATTTAACAAATTTTTATACAGTTTTATAGCTTATATACGTGTATACCCAACTGGGCTAGAAGCGCTCCATTTGTGCTATTGGAGCGCTCCATAATCGGCAGTAAGTGCCCCCTTCCGTATTTCACACTTCATTGTATTTTAACATTGGGTGTCATTAGAAAGAAGCGCTCCCTTGCTGCTTCAAAAGAAGCCCTTGGTGAGCGCTCAAGTAAAGCATTTAAAAAGCGATGCATGCAAATTTAAATTCTTATATTATATTTTTGTTTTAATAAAATAGTGGCGTTTTTGTAAACCATTTGATGGTTTTATTAAGTGTACTTATATATAAACATGGTTTTTTCTTCTTTTCTATGTGGTATACATATTAAAACACGTACATACATACATACATGTTTGTACATAAATTAACGTTTTTTTAAAAGAAAATATTTTATCTTACTAATCAAAATGATATTTATTTCTGAGAATTGATAGAAATTATTATTTTTTTACTTTGCTTTTGTACTGCTCCCTACTTGCTCCTTTGGGGAGCATAGAATGAAGTGCCATTAGGGATAGAACTTTTTAGAAAAGTATCGATACTAGTACTCATTTATAATACTCTAGAAAAGAATCATATTCGCAAAAAAGTATCGATAATACTCGTACTTCCAAGTATTTTTAGGGCAAACGCGAAAAGTTAACAAAAATCAGATTGCTTGCTTTACATATACATATGACCTCTTTCTTTTTGTAAATTGAATAGACATTACTTCCAATAGCTGAAGTCTGATCTAACAAGCATTTCAAACGGAGTTTTTGAAAAGAACTTGCAATAAGTTTAAAAGCGTAAAATAAATGTTTATAGCAAAAGGCTTATTTGAAGCTTTTAAAAGCAACTAAAACTTCTTCGAAAGCGGGCTGGATTTCGAATTTAAAAGCAAGGTAGAATACATTGGAAAACGAAGGCTTCGTTATTCTGGAGAATTGCCTAGTTATCGAGCCGAAGACCACCCTCCTAACCCAATTTTTACACCGGCACAAAAAAAAATGGTGTGTGCTTTTAACCAGACCCACTTGTCGCCACATATTTCGACCCACTGAATCCAAATCTGAGGTCCATATGACTCGTTTTTGCCATTTTTTTCACAATTTTCGCAATTAACTCCAAATTTAGGAGGTGTACGAGTCAAATGGACCTCAATACATGTCGATATCAAAGAATGTAGATAACATGAAGGGACAACTCGTTATAATTGTGGCGAAAGTGCGCAACAGGGGCGTGCCTTCTCTTTTCATCCAATCAAAAAACGCACTAGGGCAAAAGAGAAGGCACGCCCCTGTTGCGCACTTTCGCTACAATTATAACGAGTTGTCCCTTCTTGTTATCTATGTTCTTTGTCGATATGTGGATCTGGTTAAAAGCAAAGACCACTTCTTTTGTGTGGGCCAGTGTTATCAAACGTATGGCAAGAGATTCCTTTTCCAATTATTTAAGAAGTTTTAACCGAGCCAAATGTCCACATGGCTGCTACCTCTTCTTCTATGTTGTATAAAAATTTCATAGCAATGACCAGTAGCTCACCAGAACAAAATATGTATTAATTATTCGGTTTTTTGAGTTATGACAATATTGAAGTATATGAACGTTATGTCCATGGGGTAGTTTTTAAACATTTTTCCATGATATTGAAATTTTTTTTTTACCTAAACAAGTTTTTAAAACGTCGATACGTTTTGGTATTCGCGATATTTACTCAGTACTTGTCAAAAAGTATCGAGTCCTCGATACTACTCAGTACTCATGAAAAGTATCGATATTCTGTACTCGGTACTCGTATCGTATCGTATCACTAAGGGCCAATTTTACAATGCGTAGTTAACTCAGAATCGGCAGTTAACTACAGATTTTTGTACTGAAAATCTCTAGTTAACTGCCGATTCTGAGTTAACTACGCACTGTGAAATTGGCCCTAAGTGCCATATCATAACAGGGGCGGTTCAGGGAATTCAACAAACAAACACAAATTTGACGGTCTCATGTTTCCTTCACGCTGAGATGTATATCGAGCCCTAGCCGCGAAAATGAAGTAAGACAACTTTTTTCAAAATTTAATTTTGATGCATAAATGCCTCTTGAGCACCTGCATCAAAAAGTAAATTAAAAAAAAATATATATCTATACATTATTTTAGCGGTTAGGGCTCGGTATGACGAATTTCTCCGATGCTCCTCGTTATTTGGAAATCTGAAAAATTGGAAGATAGAAGATCTTTTCTTAACAAAGACAAAAGTTATTTACACATAAAGCGGTGTGGTATTTTATATGTTGGCCGAATCCAATTAAGCACGTTATTCGATTTCCTTTGGAAATTGGAAATGCCAACTGATGCCAAGTCCTGCTCTAACTGGTATTTATATCCTCTGCCACTAGCAACGGCCGCAGCGCTTCTCATAGATTTACAACCATTTTGTTTTTTGTTAATTTTTCATAAGAGTTGTTTTTAAATAAAAATTTGTAAAACCGCTCCTGAATTTAGAAAAGTAAAATTGTCATTCTGAGTACATTGTCTTATCGGATCTCTCTTTCTTTTTTCAATATTTCGGCACTCTGATGTTGGGGAATGTACTTTGAATGTACTAGCAATATAGAAGTATTACATATATGTCAAAAATCAACGATTTTTCAGCCGGTTGAGACTTGCACTTCACTTGGCTAAAATTGTATGGGCTATAAAACTGCATACCCAAAAAAAAGGATTAAAAAGTTGCAATTTTGATGAAAATTTGTTGAATTTTCCTAAATTTTGTATACAGTTTGAAACTGTGATTCATAAGGTTTTGTTTAAAACTTGGGCGGTAATTAAAAAAAAAAAACAAAAAAAAAGTTAACTCCCAAAAACATTACGAATATTAAAAAAAATCAACACGTGGTCATTTGTTTGAGTCACTGTTTATCCGGATTGATGAATAGTTGCTTGTTTAAGCAGGATTGGGTGTCGAAAGCGAAATTACCCGGCTGTCCGTTTTAGCTGCAGCTTCTCGACGCTGAACTCTCAACGCCAACTGGTGCAACTTTTCAAAAGTCGAAGTTTTTTTGACCCAAATCGAAAAACGGTTGTTGTGTCAAAAAAGAAGAAGAATATTAAAGCGCCATCGAGCAACATCTAAAACAAAATCTTTAGAAACATTTTTTTTCTGAGTGTATATATTTGTCATGAAAAAGTTTTTAATAAAAGGCATTTAGCTAGCTTGGGGTGAAAAGTTGCTAAGTCCAATTTTAAAAATTTTACACGTGAGGAAAAAAAACATCTTATAGCCATATTATGCAAGTATTTCGCAAAACTTTGATAACTTCATTTTGGCTATTTAAAGCACAGCAAAACTCCATATGAATCAGAGGGATTCGATCTTTATTAAAAGATTTCGTACTATTTTGGACTTATCGTATTTTCGGTGCATCTTTTGGACTTAGCAAATTTTCCTTTCATTGAACATAAACGAGATTAAATAAAACAAGGACCTTTATCCATTCCATTTTTAATTTTTCTAGCCTCCTATATCAAAACATGAGTTTTCATAAAAAGTGGACTTAGCAACTTTTCTCTCTAAGCTAGCGATTTGCTATTCGGTGGTTATCCAGTTTGATGTTCCAAGTGATTGTTCCATCGCTCTCATGTACTTTGATATAAACACAGGCCTGAATGTACATATCGTCCCGTTTCTGCCTTAACCTCATATCTGCAATAGAGGTATTTTATAGAGTGTAAGAAAAAATGCTTAATTTCTTCCCCTAGGGTACAATAAACGCATTTTTTACTTAATACTGGTTCCACTAACAGTAGTGAGAACGCTTATTAAGTCTTTGTTCTATTTTCAAATAGTGTGATGCTTAAACAGCTGTTATAAGTGGAAATATTAGTTTACCCAAAAATTGTAGATACGTGGTTAAGGCAGAAACGGGACGATATGTACTTTCAAAACTCTACATATTTAGAGTAACATCAATATAAAAGCAAAGCAATAATTTTTCTTTTCGATAGCGGTTAGTATATTTTCTTGTTAAATTAATATTAACTTAGATTGTTATAACGATTCACTTTTCCAAACATTAATTTTTTATTATCTATATATAATTACATACTTATTTATATTCTTTAATATAGGAGTATTTTTGAATAACTTTTTAATGTCAGTGTATATATGTATATTCAAATAAATACTTAATCCTTAATCATTGCACGTTATCTCCATAAGTTTTGATTAGAATACAACGAAACGCATAACGATAAACTTAATAAATATGTATAAGGATTTTGCGACCTTACTTTCCAGCTTCGTTCATACTTTTTGGTAGGCTAAGTAGTGAATTTATCAGTTCTGAGTTTCTTTTAGGTACTGGACCAGTAAAACTATTAGTCGGGTAGTATTTGCATGGCACGGCGTATGGTTGTGGATATTGCACCGAGTTTAGCCAATTCAAAAGTTCACGGTTGTACTAAAATACACACAGTTGCCCTTACTCGTTAGCGGGAATAATTTATTAATTTTATAAAACTTACTTCCTTTTCCAAATAAAGGTCCTCGTCTGGAGTGGGCAGCGCTTTTGATGAAATGAATATTGAGCTCAGTACTAAAGCGAAAGCAAAACACAATAGTTTAGCCATTTTTTTCTTTTGTTTTATACTTTAGTTAACGGTATTGCGACGAAAAATAATACCGATTCGAAGGATTGCAGCTAAGAACTGATGAATTGTGAGGATTTGCAAACGTTTTTATACCTGAAGTGGACATATAAACACCCCAGCAGGAGTCCGGCATACGCAACTAGGGTGATGAGTGTCAATACCAGATCAAACAAATCAGTAACGCAGATATTTTGCAAACATTTGGTTATGCATTGTTTTATTTCTTGTTATCTAAGGTTTTACGATTTGTTTGCGTTGAGTTTACGAATTTATTTATGTGTACTTTAGTGCATAAATATATTTAGATATACCTATGTACATATGCATGTGTATGCGTATGGAAAGCTGAAATACATATAAGTTTATATAAAATATATATACACTGGCAATCCAAAGTGAGTGCCTGGTGTTTTTTGTTTAATATTTGCAATGGTTTTCAAGTTAAAGTTTTCTTGTTATCTTTTTTTATAAAAAAATGGTTCATGCTTTAAACAAAACCATGTATGTAAGTCAAACTTTATACAGAAGTTAGAAAAATTTAACGAATTTTTGTCTAAATTTTGACCTTTTTAATCTTAATTTTTAGAAATATTTATAGTACACAGATAGATCGGTTTTTTTAATTCTAATGAAACAAGATCAAGTTGTAAGCGGCTAAAACATCGTGTTGATTTTTAATGATTTTTTATTGCTGAGGGCTTTTTGCACTTTTTACCATATAAAATGGAATTTCTTGTAGAATAACCGTTTGCAAACAACATTAAAAAAAATTAAAGCTATATTTTACAAATTGCCCTTTTTATATGCATAAAACAACAAAATCCATCGGAAAAAAATTCATTAAAAATCAACGCGATTTTTTAACCGCTTAAAACTTGATATTGTTTCACTAGAATTAAAAAAAACGATCTATCTGCGTACTCAAACTTTTTCTAAAAACTCAGACTAAAAAGTTCAAAATTTAGGCGAAAATTCGTCGAATTTTTCTAAGTTCTGTATAGAGTTTGAAAGTTTGATTTATGTAGATTTTTTTTATAAAAAAATATAAAATAATTTTAACTTGAAAAACATTGCAAATATTAAATAAAAAAACACCATGCACTCACGTTTGATTGCCAGTGTATGTACATTAGGCTGGGTCGATTTTGTATGGAGAAAACAAAAGGCATTTGACCGCATTGTAACAGTAATATTATGATGTCTTAGGTCTAAGTCAATTGTTATTGGCCAAGAAAGATTAATTTAAACCTTATCTTTAGCCCGCGCAATTGAATCAAAGTGTATGAATTTTGAAAATGAAACTTTGGCTTGTAATATCTATGGAAGGCGTTAATTGTTATAAACAGAACGATATATCAAATTAAGGGCTATTAAATTCAGTACCTCACGCTCATTTATTATTTTTCAATAAATCTACACGTTTTTATGATATTAAGATAAAACTTACAAAAACTCTAATTTTTTCTTATGAATTTTCAATTCTTCATTACTTCAGCAACCAAGTGAAAAATACAAAAAAGTGAGACGAGATTTATTTCAAACGTTTTAATGTTTTCGGATGTTTATACAATATTGAAATGACCATGGACTTGGTCACGCCGATTTGGTCAGTTTTCAAGATCGTGGTGAATGAAGTCAAACATGTATTGTCAAAGATTAGGAATCGTTCGATAAGTAGTTTCAAGCACATAAGTATTTACATACTTTAACATAATACAATTAAGGTGAGAAAGTTCATTTACGCAGTCTTGAAAATTGGTGCGGAGTAGTTTCATTAGTCACCGAAGATGCACATTTTTCGCGATTCGTAAATTTGCCGTTATATGAAAGTAGGGGACGTGAAATAAGTGTTTAGATATACATAAATATTTTAGTTAATTCCATTATGTGAAAAAGTGACTGTAGCTATATACAATAGTCTTTAACATATCCTGAAATCCTTTTGAGGACTCTCCAATTGGACGATATTGCTTTGTATTTAGGTTGAACGAAAAAAGTCACTCCCTTGCACACTTTTCTGTAATCCTTTAATTTAAAGGTTATTTATACAATTGAAGAGACATTTTTTTACCATTACCAAATTGAAGGCGAGACTTACTGTTACTGATTTCTGATAATAATATGATGAAAATCGTTCAGATTATAAACAAATTAATTTAAAATAAAAAGAATGTTGAACGAAATTTTTTGTCATTTTCCTATATTTGCAAATTTTTATATTGTATGCATAAACATAAGTAAACTAATTAGTGTTTCTAGAAGTTGTGTCTGTCCAGTGTTTCCATACTCATTTGCATAAACAAAATTTTTAAACGATGATGGAAAGTAATGGCTTTTCTATTACAGCTGCCGAAATTGTTCCTAAATTTGCAAAAATTCGCAAACTATAGCTAATATTAAAAAAAGATTAGAATATTTGGAACCAGCGACCTAAATGCACGTCAGGCATTATTAATGCTGTTCATTACATCTTTTGACTATAGGCCAGTGCAATTATCAAGAGAACAATTAATATTTTATTGAAAACAGATAACTCTGATATTAACGATAACCTAAAGGGCTGCGAGAATGATATTTGACTTTAGCTTTTGCGTTAACGGATTCATTATCTAATAATTTGCACCAAACCTTTTTGCTGAACCCAGAATTTTTAAAAATAATTGGTCTTATTCGACTAGTGTGCTGTGGGCCACACTAGAGCGCGGGCTCTCACAATTAAAATAAAATACCAATATTTTGCAGGCTTGTTGTTGACTTCATGATAAAATGTATTTTCACTATTACCAAAGGATTCGATAAAAAATTAAATTTTCGACCCGCCCTAATAGGGCACGGTAGTATTTATGTATGTACACACTGATATTATACATATGTATGTAAGTGTATATCTATGCACATATTGGTACAAAAAACAATCGCGTAACTATCGGTGAGTTTGCATGCATATGCAGGATCTTTTAGAATTAGAACTAAGCAAAATAAATATAATTAAAATATTAATTAATTACATATTGACAAAACAATAACTTTTTCTGTCAGATATGTACACACTAGGGATCTTTCGAATGTCATGTTTTTCAAATTCGCGAATGCGAATTTTCGGAATGCGAATGTTCGAATGCGAATGCGAATGTTAGCAATAACATTAAAAAGCTATAATGAACTTAAGTCATAGTTTTTATTATTTAAAAATTTTGTAAATTATTAGAACATTGAACGAGTGCTTAACATATACAGTTGGGGTATTCACAACGGTGTCGTAAGTGTCGTATTGTTGTATCTCGTGAGCTTTAAACGCCTAAAAAATATGCTACAGAGGTGCGCAAAGTACCATCGAAGTCATATTATGAATTTTCGCAGTGTTAAAAAATAGTTGGTTGTGGGTTCAAGAGGTTGAGCCTTCTTTTGCCTTATTGGAGTGCAACAGTTTAAGAAACGAACACAGAATTTTCCTCTTCAACCAACTCTTCAGAAGAATCGTTGACGCTGTATGGGATGAGTGCGCCTTTAGTTAAGCTCTGTAACAACCAAGTATCTAGTATTTTATATTTTTATCCTTTTGATTAAAAATCTAAATATACCAAAAAATATACATTTGCATACAAATAGTCTATATTTGAAAGAAAAATAGAGGCACTTCAAAACTTTCACACAAAAGTGTAACAATTCGCTCTGTGCAATGAAACATTTGTTCACGGAGAAAAAGGCTTAAAAAAGGCATATTTAATAAGGTAGTTGTCACAACTAGCTCGAACTCTCTTGTAGCTACATAGAGCCAATTTACACGACGACTTTTCACCCTGCGTTTTTGGCACGTTCACTTTTAAAAAAGCCTTCGAAAATCCTCGTTCATTTACACGATGACTTTTTCTTAGCGGCGTTTCTTGCGTATTTTTGACATTTAAGCGTAAAATTTTCTTTAGTCAACTCTTTCGTCCTCATTTTTAAAGGGGAGCGAATCGCGAACTCAAAGCAAAAATACGAAAAAGTGAACCCGATAAAAGCGAAACGTCAAAAAACCCCTCGATTTCGCTCTCCGTGCGTGCTTGCCTACCCCGCTGACTTCGCTACACTTCTTGCGTACAAGCTCGGCACGCATGACTTTCCGCCCAGGGTGAAAAGTCATCGTGTAAATTGGCTCATAGTTATAATGTCAAAAAACTGTAGACAAACAAATTAACCCTTGAGGTGCGAGTGCTATGATATACTTATGTATATCAGTGTAAGGGCCGGTTACTCAATGTCCGGTTAACACTAATCTGCGGTTAAACATCGTTATCGACGTCTTCGACTCCGTGCGTACAACAGGGAGTCGGTAACGTCGATAACTATGTTTAACCGGAGATTAGTGTTAACCAGACATTGAGTAACCGGCCCTAAATCTAGGTCCTGGCGTGATTTTTTTGAAACTACTCATTTCTTGCAGACATAGGGCCAGTTTCTCAATGTCTGGTTAACGCTATTCTGCGGTTAAACATATTTATCGACTTTATCGACTCCCTGTTGTACGCATGGAGTCGAAGATGTCGGTAACGATGTTTAGCCACACATTAGCGTTAACCAGACATTGAGTAACCGGCCCTTACTCAGTTTGAGTCTGCGCATCCACAGATGATATCGTCACTTCTGAATTTTCGTGTGCTTCGGGCATTTCATGCACATGAATCTCCAAGCGCATGGGAACTGCTCCTGGGTATAAACGAATGCGCGTTGAAATAATTTTCACAGACACGGAAATAATCTTCCAATTGAACACCGCAGCTGTTCTCCCAACGAAGTCTTCTATCTTCGGACCTAGGCGCCTTAGGGCCGGTTACTTAATGTCCGGTTAACACTAATCTGCAGTTAAACATCGTTATCGACGTCTTCGACTCCGTGCATACAACAGGGAGTCGGTAACGTCGATAACTATGTTTAACCGGAGATTAGTGTTAACCAGACATTGAGTAACCGGCCCTTAAAGTATCGCACCACTTGGCTCTTGCCACACGCACCGCAACGCTCGTAGTTTATGCCCCTTTTCATTTTTCTATATGTATCTAT